TATTTTAACCAGTAGATGGCAGCCTTGTAGTAGTTTTTTGTTTTTTTTGTCTGTACTGACGTGTTCCTGTTAAGCACACGTTCAGTTATGGGAGAGGGAGAAAAACATGTTCTCTGGTAAAATAGGCCAACAACTGTGATTCATTTTTAGTGCTTTAAAATCAAATTATTGTATCATTCTCAAATATAAAATGTCTTGCTTGTAGACACAGGAGTAAAAATCAGTGTGTGCTAGACTTTGCATCTAATCATAAGGCACATATTGAATACATATTGCAGATATGAAGGATTGTCTGCAGATATGAATTAGAGACTGTTACAGTTTTTCTTTTTGGATTCATCTGCTTATTCACGTTTTGCTCTTTTCCCCCAGACACCAGTTATAGCTGTGGTGGGAAATGACGCATGTTGGAGTCAGATATCCAGAGAGCAGGTTCCTATACTCGGCAGTAACGTGGCATGTGGCCTTGCATTTACAGGTAAGTTTTCTGTGTTGGATGTAGGAATATGTGCTCCGTTTATACATAAATGTTTGTGTATGATGACTGAGCAGCTACTTACTGACAAGTTATAATTTCTTCTCCTTTTTGCAGATTATCATATAGTTGCAGACGGTTACGGCGGTAAGGGCTACCTTGTAGGGCGCGAGGACGAGGACAGGCTAAGCGACATCATCAAACAGGCTCAGAAGGAGACCCGGGAGGGCAAGGCTACACTTCTCAACGTTCTCATAGGGAAGACCAACTTTAGAGAGGGCTCTATCTCCGTATAGAGCAGCTGTGAATCCTAAAGCAGTGCATTCTTCTTCCTGTAACTTTGGCTCTTCGTAGACTTTATTGTCAGGCTCTATGAGAGGTTTCAGAGAGTAAGAAGAAGCTGCTGGATCCAGACCTATGCTAATCCTTTGTGCCCTTAAAGCCATAAATTACTTTACAGTACGTTCATCTCGTGTGAGACTTCATGTCAGCTACAACACACATCTGCAAACACCAGTCATGACTGATTTCACTATCAAACGGTGACTGTTTATACACCTGTAATCTTTGTTATTTACTATGTTATTTACTACTACAGCTCCAGATCTGCCAGCCTAGCAACTAAAGCTTTTGTTATGCGTCATGCAACTTTCAGGTTCATGTGCTATTTAAGATAACTGCTGCATTTAAAGAAGGGAAAGACTGAAAAGTAAGAAGCTCTTGCTTTATGAAGGGATTTTACCTCTTTCAGAGCTCTGGGTTATATTTTTGACCTTTAAACAGCCTATTATTATAACCTTCTTGCAAATAAACCAGTGACTAAAAAATCATTTGTAAGAGAGAGTGTTGATTTAAGTCATCAAACGTGACCAGTATGCCTTTACTCCTGTTATCAAATGAACACGGAGACACAAATCTTTACAGCTTTCATTTTCTTTAACAGTTCATGATTTGGGATAAAAATGTGTAAAATGAAAAAAATATTATTTTGAATGTTGAAGACTGACAAATGTTATGCCTTTAAATGTTTGATTGTGTCTTGGAATACATCGATACGTGTAGATTGACAATGTGTCTGCTGATTCAGTTATGTATTTGAATGATATCTAATACTGACTTGTATGCATTGATGTGGGCTATGATTTCATATATGCCTATACACAATATGTATTGCACTATAATTATAACTTATATACTCACCAGGTGAACATGTGTGGATCATCTCACTCCAACATATATATATTGTTGTTTTATTTGGTACTTTGAGGGAGGTATGTCAAATTTTTGATCATGACGATGTTAATTTGGGTTTATTGACAAATAAAAGAAAGATCATGAGTGGGCCTTTGAATGTTCTCAGCACAGACTGTTCTAGTCACCGACTTTACAGATTACTGTCTAGCTATTTTTTGTGACTGCAACCATATAATCTAACCTTCTATGTCCCTCATACAGTATTTATACGTCACTATATACCAGCTTGTTTTCACACAGTCGCCCCAATGCCTGCAGAAGTGGAATTTAAGCTGTAGACTGTATGTGAAGGAAACTCATTGTGCATTTTGGGAATTTGACAGCTGCTTTTGTTGAATTTGGCTGTGGAGTCTGAAATACTTTTGTCACAGAGTCATCTGTGTTTAATTTTAGGAAAATCAGACCTTCACATCGCTCTGATTCTGTGCAGAATAAGCATTACAGCTTTATTAATGTTGCAACTTTATCTGCAAATCTGGCAAGAGCTGTAACATCGAGGTCTGTGTATATTTTATTAAGTTTGGTCCTTCTATTAATGTCAGCAGCTCCACTTGTATGTAGTAATGAAGTAGGACTGCTTTAAGGCCTGTACTTTGGGAAACACTACCACGCATATAGAGTATACTAAGGCCACCTGGGTGCACATTTTCACGGTAAATATTTACGTACTAATTATAAGGAATCAATTATAAAAATCTAATTTGTAGGGTACATAAAAGATCTACACCTGGATTTTTATGGTGTAGCTCTGCTTGGTGTACAGTGCTGCACCATGTGTGATATGTTGCATAACTTTGTGCCATCTCCACATCAGTTATAACTTGACACAAGAGCAGTAATATATTTATATGTAGTTATTTTATGTAACATTTGGTTTATGTCAGACAAATCACGAAAAGTTTTAGCTTTTGTTTTGTTAAGGGGCTGTGACTTTTGCCCTTCATGCTTTAAACATGCAGTTCTTATTTTAACCAGTAGATGGCAGCCTTGTAG